TTGGTATATTCCCAGATGTTTCGCCGGCATCGTCAGTGAGTTTTGCCATTCGTAGCACCATATTACAACTCGTCAAAGAGACAAGTGAAGCTGATTCTTTGACCAAACGTAAACTAAACAGTTATGGTATCGCCCCTTCTGCCCTGTCCTATTCACATTTCCTAAATCCTCCTATCACGCCTTTACTGTCACAATTTTTTACTTGCTTATTTAAATGTTGTATGGTGATAATTAACCTGGGGCTTTAGACTCGAGTTAGTCTCCCAGATGCAGAGTTTGGGAAATAATGCCTCGAGTAGCACAGATAGGGTGGCAGGGGTCGAGTGAAATACTTGAACCAGGGAGATAGCAGAACGATCCTACGGGGGCAAATGGAGACTCCGATAAACAAGAAGAGATACCACATCTAAATAAGCACGGTAAAAATTGTAACTGACGGCGTGATACGAGGATATAGGAAATGTGAATAGGCCAGAGCAGAAGGGGAGATATCATAACTGTTTAGCACATGTTTAGTCAGAGCATCAGCTTCACTTGTCTCTTTGACGAGTTGTAGTGTGGTGCTAAGAGTGGCAATGCTCACTAACGATGCGAGCGAACGTCTGGAAATGTATCACGTACACTGTCCGACTGGAAATAATGATGCATACAATGGACTCCGGATTAGGTGCATTTCTCTAAGTCTTCCTGTCAATATGAACAAGTTGCAAAAACAAGGTCAAATAACTTCTATACTAACGAAAGGAGACTACGATCACACCAACTTGGTCTTCATACCTTCGAAAAACAACTATTATTGGATGACTATACAAAGTCTTGATGTAAAAGAAAAAAGATTAGTTAAATATCAAGAATACCATCTTTCTTATAGTCTTTTTAATTAGCGATAACTATTATGCCAATTTGTCATTTGCTGTTGGACTATTTAAAAAAGTATAATTTAGTCTGTATACAAATACCCAAAATTATCTAAACGCGCGATTTAATAAAAATAATTCACGTTGATAAAGGTCTTAGCAGAAGTTATTTGAAAAGGAACTTAAGTAGTGACTCTTAACTCGAGGTGGTCAAAATATATAGAATACTTGCCTTCGAGTTCGGAAATGATGTTAATCAATGGTATAGCGCGCTTTTGCCGCATGGTGAGATCGAGTTGCAAGATCAAGGGTCCTTGAGTAAACCTCTGGGGCTGATTGGTATTTGCAGGTGCACTGTCTGTTGCCACAATTCCCATCACGCATACGGCCAGCTGCTTTCCCTTGGGGCTCCAAGAGACTTATAGCAATAGATATAATACGCATATGCAATGAGTATGAAGTTAGAACGTAAAGGGATACACACAATATTATATTAATACAAACATAAAAAGAGACTACTCAGACTATTAATTTCTGGTATTGCTTAAGCGAATGCCTATGACCTGAAATATCAATTAAAGGGATCTCTAATAATGGAAAAAAGTAGTAGTAGATAAAAAATATGGAAAAAAAATCACGTAAGATTTACTTTTAAATCGGATTGTTGTGAAGAATTAGTAAACGGAAAGACCCCTAGGAGAAAAATTTTTTATTAGGAGCAAAAATATGAAAAGTAAATAATTATAGGCACTTCATGTAGACTACTTACAGGTCATCTGGTTGGATTGTCCAATATCTTAAATCCGAATATGGATGCATTTACAAGTCTTGTACGAATATAAAGAACATCATAAGAAGAAAAGTGCTTAATAGTTTAGAATTTGTTTGACCTTGTTTACGCAACTTAGTCATATTGGTAGAAATAATTTGAGGAACGCACCTAGTCCTTGTATGCATAATCATTTCCTAAGTTGGACCGTGGACGCAGTACATTCCCAGACGTTTCGCCGGCATCGTCAGTGAGTTTTGATATTCGTAGCTCCATATTACAACGCGTCAGAGACAAATGAAGCCGATTCTTTGACCAAACGTGAACTAAACAGCTATGGTA